TCCTACATTTCTCCCCAATTCAGTAATATATCTGGTCTTCGTTTTTTAAAAAGTCAAAACCTCATTTTGAGTCATAGTATCTTTCGCTCAACTTGGCTAGTATTGAAAGAAATTACTGGAAAACAAAAAACATGCTCAAGCTCTTTGCCACAAATGCTTAAAGTCGATAATAATAGCTTGTATGAATTACAAATAATAGCTCATAAATTTAATAAATATTTCACTGAAATTGGATCAACTCTGTCAAGTAAAATACCAAAAACCCAAACCTAATTTTATGATTTTTTGATACCTATTGATAAAAATATTTGCTCTAAAGAATTCTCTGCCGAACTATCATTTAATGAGTTTGAAAAAGCTTAAAAAAAATAAAGCACCTGGTGCAGATCAAATAAACGGAAATATTGTTATAGATTGCTATGAACAATTAAAAAATATTCTTTTTAAAATTTTCAGAGCATCTATCCATCAAGGTATTTTTCCTGAACGTTTAAGACTTGCCAGGGTTACCCCTATCCATAAAGAAGGCGACAGATCCAATATCAGTAATTATCGCCCCATCTCTGTTCTTTCTATATTTTCTAAAATTTTAGAAAGAATTATCTTCAATAGGGTATACAATTATTTTAATTACAACAACTTACTTCATAACAATCAGTATGATTTCAGAAAAGGGAGTTCAGCTGAACATGCCATTATTCAATTTATACATAACTACACAACATCTCTGAATCTTTTGAAAAATCCCAATATACACTAGGTGTTTTTATTGACCTATCAAAAGCTTTCGATAGGTCGATCATCACATTTTAATCCAAAAAATTAAACATTATGGTTTAAATAATAGAATCTTAAAATGGTTTAAAAGCTATTTAACAAATCGAAAACAACTTGTTTATAGTAATGATGGTCAGCAAACTGAACCCCTGAGCATAACCTATGGTGTTCCACAAGGTTCTATTCTCGGACCAAACAAAGAACTAAATCACATTTCTAATTGGTTCAAAGCTAATAAATTAACTTTAAATATTAACAAAACAAAATAGATTATCTTTCACTCATGCGCAAAAAAACGTTTTTTACCAAGTAATATGCCTCAAATTTATATTAATGAAACGATAATACAAAGAGATACTGTTATTATATTCTTAGGTGTTTACCTTGATGAGAATATTACTTGGAGAAAACATATTAATCATATAAGCACAAAAATTTCCAAAAATATTGGCATTTTATACAAAGCCCGAAATTGTCTAAACAAAAAAAACTTATACCAATTCTATTATTCATTTATACATAACTATATAAATTATGCAATCATCGCCTGGAGAAGTACAGATAAAAGTAAATTACAACATCTTTATCGCCGTCAGAAACATGCAATCCGTGTAGTTAATTATGCGGATCGCTTTTCACATTCAAAATATTTTTTTGATTATATGAAGGTTCTAGATGTTTATAAACTGAACATATTTAATGTCAGATGTTTTACTTTTATATGGAAAAACGATTTATCTTTATTTGTTTTTAACGACCTTTTTTCTTTAAAACCAACTTTAAATTCTATTAATATTATATATTAAAATGTGTTGTATCTTTGCATAATGTAAATACGTTAAATTTTCTATATATATATATATATATATATATATATATATATATATATATATATATATATATATATATATATATATATATATATATATATATATATATATATATATGTTACAAATAAATATTTTTACTTTTTAAGGTTCCGATGATAAGATCCTTATGATCTTCTTTCGGAAACCTAGTTTTATATTGTTAGTACGACTTAAATGTATTACGACTTACGTTTATGTATTAGGACTTATAAATTTTGTAACACGACTAACATTGTAAACTGAAAAAAAAGAAAAAAAAAGAAAACAAAAGAAAAAGAAAAAAAGATTTTGAACGATACTTTGTTCTGCCAACCATACACATTTATAATTTTTATAAAGATGAATTTTAAATGGAAAACTCTCTTTAAAAAAAATATGCGCTTGTATTCTTGTAGACAGAAAAGCAAATAACTGGAAATTTTGTTGCAAAAAACTTGGATACATATAGTAGGTCTTTCAGTCGATCTATGATTTTGACATAATAATAGTATAAAATTTTCGTAAAAATAATATAAAATTACTATTTAACGACTTTCTAAGATTTTACGATTCTGACGACTGGCGCCCTATCAAAACTTGGCACCATTTAAACTTAATTCTGATTGTATTGAAAAGTTCAAAAATTAAAAAAGTTATTAATTCATTTACAAAATACTCATAAATGAATATACAGTTTCAACAATATTTTTTCCAATATTTCGAGCAAAAAAAACTTTGAAAATATCAAACATTGAGTTTACGGAGACAAAAAACTTATCAAATATTTTTTTCTGCTCGAAATTCAGCTTCAGCTTCATTTTTCTCAGCTTAAAATTCAGCTTAAAATTCAGCTTTAACTTCTTAAATATTCAGCTTAAAATATACGAAAACTTCGTATATTTTATGCTGAATTTTTTAAAAATTTGAAGCCAAAAAATGCTGGATAACTTCCAGACATGGAGCAAACTCCAAAGATTTATATGTTTATACTTATGTCAAGTAAGGATGCTTTGCTAAATTGCGATGATTGGCAACAAAAAACCCTAAATTTTATGTCGTCCCTGCCTGTGAGAGCAACAAATTGTTGAAATATTTTTTGTACTATTCTTAGCTCAACTTACATTCATCAATAAATTTTAATTTTCATAGTATAATAGTGATTCTTTGTTCCCAGGATCCAATCACCGCAAGTTTTTGCAAAACATCCTTGGTTGACATAAGTATAAACACATAAATGTTTGGAGTTTTTCATTTTGTAACAAAGCAATCTCATTTGAAAATTGGCTAGAATTAGGACGTGGCCAGAAAAAGGTCAGTTTGCCGTAATACATTGTCGACGATTCAATTACATTTTTTTTTTTTTGGTTTAATTTGGTTCAAGTTTAATGTGCGCGAAAGTGTTAGAATGCCGGAACTAGACGTGTTTTTGTTATCCATCCGCGACACTATTTCAGTTAACTGTCTGTGACCGAATATCCGCAATGCACGGTATACACAAAGTATAAACAACTAAAGTTGTCCGCCCGATTAAATAAATATCCGTCTGTAACTAAATAATTTTATCCTGTCAAACTTATTTCAGTTAGGAATCATTTTTTGATATATTTAAAGTGATTTAATTTTCATTATATGTGTGTGTCGAGTTTACAAAGCATTGGTAGATTACTAATAGTAATAGTAATATTGAATACAAGAACACATAAAAGTTAATTGATTTTTTTTTTTTTTCAACTAGAATTCATTTTCTTAATGATTTATTAGAAACATTAAGAAAATAAATATTACTAATATGTGTCTTTTATTCATTAATAATTTTATCAGTTTTTTTTAGTTTTATTATTAAATAGATAGTTCAAAATGTGAATGCTTTGATTCTGTTTACAATGATACGTCTTTTGTTGAGGTACAAGTCCTGGACAAAAAGTTTTTTGTTGTAAAAATATTTTGAAAGTATATCTCTTGATTGACATAAAACTAAAAGGTGTAAAAAAAAAAAAAATCAAAAGGGTTTAGGCAAAAAGAAAAAAGTCAAAGAGGTTTAGGTAATTTTTACCTAATTATGTTATATATTTAATGTTTGATTGTTTATTTATATACCGTAAATTAATAAGCAATTCAACATTAAATATACAACATAAATAGGTAATTCAATAGCAATACTTTTTTTGTCTAGTTTCTCCATTATTCTTTAACAAAAATATCATAGTCCATAATGTTAAATGACTCATATTGAGCAGACAGGTAAAATTGAAAGTTTTGTTGAGTGTGTGTTAAAGCTTTTGGTAAAGTTTTTTTAATATATAAAGGTCATTTCAATTTAGATATTCAATTGAAATAGTTTTGTATCACAAAAACCACTTAACTTCAATACCACTAAAATTTATAGCTTTTTAAACACAAATTATTGATAAAAACTTGTTCAAAATTTCCATACCGAATTTAATTTATAAACGGGAGAAATAATCAAAGATTTTATCTACACATAAACATATTATAAAAATGTTTATAAACATATAACATTTCTATATTACTACTAAACAGCCATCTAATTTTTTTAGTATATATATATATATATATATATATATATATATATATATATATATATATATATATATATATATATATATATATATATATATATATATACATATATATATATACATATATATATATATATATATATATATATATATATATATATATATATATATATATATATATATATATATATATATATATATTTTGTTCTTGATAATTTTAGGAACTTGTTATATGTTCAAGGGTCTTAAGGAACCCCTAAAAATATTTTTTATTTAAAAAATTTAAAAACCGGTTTTTTTTCATCATATAGAACACATTAATGGGGTGCAACATAAATTTCTCAAAAATGTTGTTTTTAGTGACAAAATCTTAGCAATTTTAGCAAATTTCTTTATAACTTGAAAACATAAAAAACTTTGCCAAGCTAGTTTATGAGAACTTTCATTGAAAGTGATTAAGCAATTAATTGGTATCAGCGAAGTTAGCTATTGTACAAGTATCAGCTAAGTTAGCTATTGCACAAATTTGAATCTTTTTTTGCTGGTTTTCTAGTTAATTATTTTTTTAAAGAAAAATTTTATTTTATATTGTACAAATTATTATATCTTAAATAAGTCAAACTTTTTATATTACTGACAGCTTTATGCATTTGATTTTTTTTTGGAGAAAAAGTTTATATGGTTTAATTTTGTGTTTATATCTTTGAACAATTTAATGATTCTTTTAAATCTGCTCATAACTTTAACTAGAGGTCTGTCATATTACATTTAAATAGAATAATATAAATATAGTTACAATTATTAAGTTGGTAGTAACTATATACTCTTTTCTAAATTCTATGTTTAGCTTGTTTATTATTTAATTTGATTTAAAACCTAATAGCAAATGTTGAGAAATTGGATTTTGGATAAGAGAATAACTCATGTTCATTTGCACACAGATGTTGATTTATAGTAATAATTCACAAGTTAAATATTGTGAACAGGTATTACTTATATATTTTATTTTATAACTTTTATGAGTTGTTTATTTAATTATATTATAAAATACCAAGATAATGTATTATAAATTCTAATTTTTAGATCAAATTAGAATTTATAATCAAAAATTTTTTTGTTTTATATAGTCAATACAATAAAAAAAATTAGAAAAGATTGTCTTATAAACGTTTTAAATTATTTCGAAAAGTTAAAGTATTTTTATTGTTTCATTTGTATTTTATATTTTATTTTGTAAATATTTTGAACTAAAAATCATCTATTTGAAAAAAAATTTGTAAATTCAGTAAATCAGTGAATCTAATCTGCTAACATTAATGTCAATTGAACTAGTCATTTTTTGAATCATAAATTAGCACAAATAGAAGTTGTAATGATTGTTAAACAACCAATTTCCTTTCTGATAATCATTTGTAATATTTTATTTGGATAATTATTAACAATTACAACAAAGGCAATTACCCTTTGACAATCATTTGTAAAAATATCTTCAGAAAACCGATAATGATTGCAAAATAAAAGAATGATTGCAAGAGTACAAAGAATTCTCACACACATAGAATCAAAGCCATAGCCCTAAGTTTAATATAGTTAAATAGTTACAGTGAATTAAGTTAATTCACTTGATTGGAGATTATGTTTTTTATTTTTGTATTAGTGTGTTGCGCTTTACTAGTTTACAGTGACTGATTTAATTTTTTCAGATTTTAATTGATTTAATAATACAGTCTGATGACAACACTCATATATCAACAACAAAAAAAAGGAAAATAAGAATTGTAAATAAGTCTATCTACAAGAGTGAAATAATGAAAAAAGCTTCCGTTGAAGGTAGGAAATGACCTAAATGAGCTAAAAAATGAGGCTGAGGTTGAAATGAGCTAAAAAATGAGGCTGAAGAAATAAGGCTGGAAAACCAAGGCATGCATATTGGCCTTTATGAATATTCACTCTGTGACAAGTGACAGATTAAGTAAGCTGGGCAACCTTTGAAAACAGGACAACTCCATTGTGATAAACGTGGATGAAGTAATTCAAGTGCTAAACCTGAAAGTGTCATTAACAAGGTGAAAGAGCGCATATCTTCTTATCCAACATAAATAACTTACTATGGTAATACTGTAAAACATTTTTTCAATGAAAAACTTTCTGTATATGAAAGGTGCTTCAACAGAAGTCTTGAAATCAATGTAATATACTAATTTTTTTAGAAAATATTAAAGCAGCAGTTTTCGTTTTCGTTTTCGCTGATGAAGTTTAGTCTTTTCTGCTAAAATATATAGAATCTTGCTGCAATCATGTAGAACAGTTGCATGTGCTTTTCGACGGGTGCCGGGACCAAAGCAAAAACTATACCCTTGTTAGGCTATGTTCTGCACTGGTTTCACTAAATAAGGTTAAGAGTGTTGACAAATATTTTCCTGTGAAAGGTCACTCTTTTCTTCCTTGTAATCAGGGCTTTTCTGTATTTAAAAGAAAAATTCAGAAAACTGGTTTATACCTTAAACTGATTTTTACTTTAAAAGAGTATAATGACCTAATTCTGTCAACCTCCGAGAAAAATGGATATATATTGATATATCCATTTTTCTCATAACTATATTGATGGTTTCAGTTCCAAATGTTTTCTTTGAGAAATTCCAATAGTTTAGTGCTGCCTCTTCCTACAGCCAATGCTTATCAGGATGGAGTGGTCCCAATCAATACTAAGAAAATTGCTATTATCCATAAATATATGCCATGCATTTCAGCTGCTAAAGATATTCAAAAATTATAAGCAAAAAAATCAACAATTCAGTTTTATAAACAAAAAAATCAACAATTCAGTTTTATAAAACTGAATTGTTGATTTTGTCTTTATTTCTAAAAATCGCTACCTAAAAATAATTTTTTACACTGTGTTTATGTACAAAAGACTATTCATTTTAGAAACAACGTAAGCCAGTCAAATAAAAAAATCCAAAAAGATGTAAAATTTTTTGTTAAAAATTTTAATACAATTTTGTTTTAGTATCAATTTTGTCTATTTTGTAGAAGGCCTCCTAGGCAAAGACTTAAGGGGTAAACCTATTAAGCTGGTGCAGATGTATTTTTAATACATTGTTTCCAGTTTATGATGTTGAACGCTGAATCTTCTTGACTCAATACATGGGTTTTGCTTGTGTCTCTGTTTTTATGACTAGACAACTCATTCTATTATCTCCAAATGAGGGTACAGCTCTAAAACTCAGTTTTATGGTTCTGAGGCCGGCTAGTAGTCAAGTTTCCCGAACTCTGTGGTAGCTCTCAGAGAGGCTGATTCCATCAACAGCTGAAAAATATCAGAGTACTAACAGTGCCATGTTGCGCATGGATGGTGTCCCTGTTTGTACTTTTAGTGTGCATTGCCAAGCCCACATTGGAACCCTTTGTTACGGCTTAGGGTTTATTAGTGAAAATGAGGCAATTACTTGAGCTATAGAGCAGTATACTGAGTACTATCTATGTTTCGAGTCAAGTTCTTTAATAAATTTAAAAATGAATAAAGTAACAAAAACTATAAAACACAAAAAACCACAGTCATCACCAAGTTCGCTAAACCTATCATTCACTAATATTCGTGGTCAAAGTAACTTTTCTTCTGTTGAATCTTATCTCTTGCAAGGTTCGCCAGACCTACTTGCTCTTTGTGAGACTAATTTGAGTTTAGCTGTCTCATCTTATGATCTTAGTGTTGATGATTATCTTCTTTTAATTCGTAAAGACTCCAATAGTCGCATGTTTGGCCTGGGCATTTACATTTGTAAGAATTCACCCATTTGTTGGGAAACTAGGTTTGAATCTACAGACTACTCTTTTATGTGCTTTCGTTTAACACCACTTCACTCTATCACCTTTCTCTTTGTTCTCTATCGCTCTCCTTCATCTCAAGACTGCACTCTTCTTGATGTTGTTTCTGATCATATTGACCAAGCTCTCTCTCTTTATCCATCAGCCAATATTGTTGTTGTGGATGACTTAAATGTTAATCACACTGAATGGCTTGGCTCTAGTGTGAGTGACTCTGCAGGCATTAAGGCCCACACAACTTTTGCCTCTCTCAATCCCAAACTCAAATAGTCAACTTTCCAACTCGCTTTTTAGATAACCTGAATCATTTACCTTCTCTACTCGACTTATGTCTTGTTTCTGATCCTAGTCAGTGCTCAGTTTCTCCACTTACCCTTAGGTGCATCCGATCATGGTTTGGTCTCTTTAAAACTATTATCTCATTCTTCTTTATCATCAGAATCCCCCTATCATCATACATCTTACAACTTCCTTAAAGCTGACTGGGACTCTTTCCGTGATTTTCTTCATGATGGCCCCTGGGTAGAAATCTTTTGTCTCCTGTTGACAAATGTGCTTCTTACATAACTTCGTGGATTCAGGCTGGCATGGAATCCTTTATTCCCTCTCGATGATTCCATGTCGATGATTCCTCACTCTTCTCCATGGTTTTCTTCGCATTGTCCTGCTGTAATTGCCAATCGAAACCATTACTTCCATATCTATCAACAAAACAATTCTCCAGAAAACAGACGTCTGTTTATTACTGCTAGGAACCATTGTAAAAAGGTTTTGTCTAATGCCAAAGCCGGCTCTTCTCAGATCATGAAATCTCGTATTTCATCACAAAAGTTAGGCTCTCGTGACTTCTGGAGAATCTTTAATAGTATCAATAATAAGGGCAAGTCTGTAATTCCACTTCTTTTGTATGGTTCAGACTTTGTCACCTCACCTAAAGACAAAGCTTAATTGTTTGCTAAGAACTTTTCATTAATATCATCTCTTGACTCCACTAGTTGCGCTCTACCTGATATAGCTGTCAAACAGGTTTATCCATTGCTTGACATCCATATTACTCCAGCTTCTGTATCTAAAGTGATTTCCTGCTTAGACTCTTCTACAGCTTGAGGTCATTATAGTCTTGCAGAAGTGTTCTGCGGAGCTATCGTCTATCCTTTCAAAACTATTTAACAAGTGCTTATCAGAGTCTTGCTTTCCAGCCTGCTGGAAAGCAGCATCTGTTATCCCTATTTTTAAAAATTCTGGAGAGCGATCTGATTCGTCTCACTACCGTCCCATTAGTCTTCTTCCTATCATAAGCAATCTTTAATTAACAAACACTTAATCTCGAATCTCGAATCTCATAACCTACTTTCTGATCATCAATATGGATTTCGATCTTCTCGTTCTACGGCTGATTTGCTAACAGTAATAACCGATAGGTTTTATCGTGCATCAGATAAAGGTGGAGAGGTTAAGGCCATTGCTCTTGATATTTCTAAAGCGTTTGATAAAGTTTGGCATGCTGGTCTTCTCCATAAGCTTTCTTCTTACGGTGTATTTGGAAACATCTTTAAGATTATTGAATCCTTTCTTTCCAATCGTAGTATAAAAGTTGTCCTTGATAGACAGCACTCTTCTTCTTATTCTGTAACCTCAGGGGTTCCTCAAGGTTCAATCCTTGGCCCTATACTCTTTTTAATTTACATTAACGATCTTCCAGATATTCTCACATCTAAGGTGGCATTGTTTGCTGATGATACTACCATTTATTCTTGTCACGATAAGAAGCCAACTCCCTCTAATTGCTTGCAGGGGGCATTTGAGCTTGAAAAGGATCTCACTTCTGCTACAGCATGGGGCTCACAGTGGCTGGTGAACTTTAATTCAGATAAAACTCAATTTTTTTCAGCCAACCGTTATCAGAATAATATAGACCTTCCTATATTTATGAATGGTAATGTACTCGATGAGTCATCTACCCTTCATCTTCTAGGATTAATTCTCATATCTGATCTTTCTTGGAAACCTTATATCAAATCCATTGCAAAATTAGCATCTGCTAAAATTGCATCTTTTTATCGAGCTCGACACTTTCTTACTCTGGATTCTATTTTCTATCTCTATAAATCTCAAATCTGACCATGTATGGAATATTGTTGCCATATCTGGGGCAGAT